TATAAAAAAAGGTGGATCTTTGGGGAGGGGGGGGGGTACCATATATATATATATATATATAGGTGCTATCGTGTGCTACCATGCCACATTTTGTATCCTCTTATTAGCGTACCTTGCGCCAGGGCTTGTCTCCTGTATCATTGAGGAAGCTCCATAGAGAATGACAGAAGTTCTGCATCAGTCCCTCCTCCTTCGTCTGTCAGGGACATCATAGATCAACCCTGCTCTCTGAATTCTGCTCTTCCTCACTTATTCTCTTGAATTTTGTTGCCGGAAGAGAAAAACCCGTAACAGAAGGAGGATCGCTGTTTTTTTCAGATATGTACATGCTGTTTTTTCTGCTCGTGGGAATCCAACTTCTAAGAGAAAAAGTGGGTTCTCCTTCTGTCTATCTCTTTCTTTGGGAAGGAGGAGAGAGGGTTCAAAGGGGAATACGCAGGTACGCAAGTTCTGCATCAGTCCATCCTCTGACGTCTGTCAAGGATACAATAAAGAAACTTCTCCTGTTGTCTCTCCTATTCTTTTCACTCTCAATTACTCTCTTGAATTTTGGTTTTCGAGGAGAAAGAAAGGTAAAGGAAAGGAGAAACAGAGCAAAATGCACTCCTCTCCACCTTGCTGAGACGAGCTCTGTGCGAAGAAACTATGAGTAGAACAATGGACAAGAGGATGCAGGAGGAACGAGGACACCCATGCTTGTCTCGTCTATCCTCGTCCCTCTTTTCTTGTAGTTTTCCCTTCTGTTCACGTTTTTTCTTTCCCCAGCGGAAGAAGAGGTACAATACGTAATACAAGAAGAGAGGAGAGGAAGGAAGAAGGTATGGAGTGGTAAGGGGGAGAGGCCCTGCTTGTCCCTGTGTTATTCATCATCGTCTCTGCTCTCGGGCTTCATCTACTCATCTTGCCTAACTCAACAATGGAGAAAGGAAAATACATGGAGAGTTGAGCAAAGGGCTCCTCATGCTCCCTTTGGTTGGTATCCTTCCGTCAGGAACCATACCAGCGAAGAACAGTTGCTGAGAAGATTACCAGGAGAAAAGAAGATAGGATTGGCGGACCATAATAACGAAATGAAGGAACAGTCCCTTTACTATGTTTGAATGTATACCTGCTATTTTTCCTCTTCAGAACCCAAAACCAACTTTCCGGGTTAGTGTTGATATGCGCACAAAGGAGCTTGGGCCTTCCCAACATTAAATTAAACAGGATGCGCAGAATACAATCCGGGCAGTGGTACATTTCAAAAGCCTAAAATTTCTTGAATGTGCCTGTCAGAATGTGCCGGGGAGCTCCACGACTGCAACCCCAATCGAAGCGTGCCCATCGAAAATCTTCCGAAACCCTTTTATAACATCTTGCCAAGGAACCTAATGAAGCCTTGCATAAACTCTCATAGAGAACCCAACCACAACACGTTGTGAGAGGTTGTGAGCCCAATAGCAGTTTCTGATATCAGAAAAGAGATTCAATTTGCCTGATGCATAATTGTCAGCCTAATCATACCGTCCTATCTCAGAAAATCAAGAAAGCAGCTAGATAAACAACGTTTTGTTTGTCCTCGAGGATAGCTCACAGTCCAAAATGCTTACTTTGGACATCTGACCTTGACATGAACCTGCACCAACCCTCGGGATCTGTTTGAAATAGTTGGAAGTTAGGCCATGTCGACCTTCTCTTTTATCAGCTCAAGTGCCTTCATGGCTTTCCCATAATACTGATTAACGTCCGGTCCCTAATAGAAAAATATGCCATTAATTTGAGATGCCATTGTTTTTTATTCTTATGGTTGTTAATTGCAAAGGGCGAAGTATAGCCCACATAAACACATAAAGAAGATCCCGAATTCCAAGTAGATTTTCTGTCCTAATCTTTCGATACATACATTGTTTTTCAAGGCAATCCTATCAAGAATGCAACATCGTAGGAAATGAAACATCCATAAGTTAATTTGGTTTCCTCTCGTTCTTCTATACACATTTTGTACAACACTAAATAGGGGAGATGCTTGATTTGAACTAACACGTTCGCAAAATTAGTGTATTCGAGCTTGTTTCTCAAGACCATATGATAGCAACCGTCAAAGGACAAAACTAAGATGATCCCTAGTTCTGGCATCTTTTGTAGCGCTCTGCCTACCCCTTGGCCTCTATGGACAGTAATCTTCCTTTTATAAAAAGACTCCTTTTTCGTTTGAAATCTTGTTTCGGCCATCAGAAAAACTTAGAACTTAAAACCAATCAGAAAACTGCAAAATGCTGTTTCCATGCGTTTTAAGGTGTTGTATGCGTTGTTGTTTAGCTTTTGCGTGGCCTCCGAGTCTGGAATAACGTGATTTCAATTGTTTTTGCTTTTCTATGTGTTTTTTTATGTTTTCGGTTCCCAGAAAAAAAAAAGAGAAACCCAAGACCTAACCAACCTAAAAAAAACTAAAGCCTAGCAAATTGATTAATTCAAGACAATGAGGCCTGAAAGAAAACAAGAACAAAATACAAATAACAAACAGACCCTAAAATTAACTTGTTGCCTGCTTGTTTATTCAAGTTTGTTGTTAATCTCTTCCCGCTAATAATCAACCCCCTAATAATAACAAATAAATCCAGGGTCCCAAAAATTCCTCATGAACATGTTTAAAAGGGGCTGTACTACTTTTGAAAGGAGCCAGACCATAGTAGAAAATCCAACAAAAATTAGGGACCCCCTTGACATCCTAGGTTTTAGTTGATTTTCATACTGTTTTATGAAAGATTTTACAAGAACTGAATGCGATTTTAATTCATTTTATTACAATTTTAGCCGTATTGAACTAAATCTCAATTGAGTTTCATTCGATTTTTTAATCGAATTTAAATTGATTTTAATCAATTTCATTTGATTGTAAAAGGAAATTTAAGCAAATTTCAGTTGATTTTAACGGGAATTTAATTCGATTTCAATTCGCTGAAAACACACTTGATATCGTCAATCACCAATTGACCAATTGGTGACGTGGACTTTAAGGATCTGATCCATTACAAGAATTGCCACGGTCCTTATCAAATGTGAAAATCTCTGCTCTGAAGTGTTGTGTCAATCGCTCATGTCTGTTCAAATCCAACCAAGCACACATGCACTGATTGCCAGCAACTCATGTGGATAACCGAACAACTGCACGAAGTCAAGCTGCCCTGCTGTGTTTTGTTGGCGGTGGAAAACTGTCAAGGCAAGTCAAGCACATGCACTGATTGCAAACCGCTCATGTTTATGCTCATGTGGGACTGGAACACTGTTATGGCAACGCCGGCCGTCTAATCTCCTGCACAGGGGCGGTCTTTCTAATCGTCAGGCACCTCAGGGGGCTGCCCTTGCAGGTACGTGGCTGAAGCGTCCTTCAACCATATCCTGATGCATGACTGGAGCTTCGTTGCACCAGGCCGAGTCATGCATCCCTGGCGCCCCTGCACGTAACAAAATCATGTGGTTTTGAGAGTTCCAAGGAAAATGGGAGTGACCCCCTTCGCTCATGAGCTAGAACGCTTCACACACACATATTGAATATCGGTATATACATATATATATACATATATATATCTTCTTATACTTAGTATGGCAATAAATCATATGCGAAATGTACCCGTGATCATACATATACATATACATATATACCAGCTGCAGCTGATGCCGGCTTCGCGCTCGCGCAAAGTGCTCGTCGTTTCGCCACGGAATGCGATCTCGAGAGTTTGCATTTATACATGTCTTCTTGTATCGCCGGGCGACGCTATCTGAATAGTCTAACACTTAAACTTGGGTTAAACTACACTCCGGTCCTTGAATTGAAAATCAACGATTTGGAGGAGATCTGGAAGACTACTTTAAAGGCGATTTGAGGTCGATTTAGGGTGAGCGGAAATGTTGCGGCGGAAGAAGTTGCGCTGGGCCAGCGGGCGACGGCGCAGCAAAAACTATAACCGCACATATATGTGGGGAAAAAGCCTACAGCGTAGAAAAATCATCAGTTCCTGACCAGGAGGCCCGCGAAAAAAAAAAATAAACAAAAACAATAAAACCGTTAAAAGGTCCTAGAAATAACTTTTTCTGAGTTGTTTAGTTCTTTTAGTTTTTTTCCATTTTGGTGCCTCCTGAAGTGGAATTCATTAATTTCTAACCTTTTAGCTTTTTAGTTTTTTGATGTTTGTCCTGTTTTGGTAAAAAGGTACCAGAAAAAACAACTGAAAAATAAAGGCTAAATACAAAAATAGGAAACGGCAAATAAACCAAAAGGTCATACATACATACGAGTATTAACTCCCACAATGAATTTTTGCCGCTCACTTATTCGAGCGGGTTACAAGCAAAAATTGAAGCGTTTCCTTGAACACAGCGTGGGCACAAAGTGGCCAGAGGCACTGCGTAGGCTTCCATCTTCTTGCACATCTTGGGGAGGAATTTGAGCATCCTTCAGAAGCTTGATATTGAAATGGCAGCTTGCGTGACTGCCAGAGCACACAGATGCTCACCTCTCGTCGATGTCATGGCCCTCCAAATAATCGATGCCCTCAGATGCGTCACAAAATTCAAATAAAAAACACAACTACGAGCCGTTAAACAAGTGATCAAAGCAGTCCTCATCTCTTGGGCCCCGGCCTGCTTCATGTACGGGATGAGTTCCCTCTTGCGCCTTGCTTTGCTGCGCGTTGATTCGTGTTGAACACTAAGCGTTCAGAAGACCTGTTCAAGTACTCGGAAGGGTCCGTGATACCTTGCGGCAAGGCTGAAGCCGCACCAGGAGCGCCTCAGAGCACATGGAAAATAGATTTCCGCAAGCCACACATGCAGCACTGGAGCCGGCACCCAGAACTGGCAGAGCTAGCAACATAGCCCGGCGAGGAGTCTCGCCTGTCAATGCAAACTGTGCCGAAGATACCATGCCGCAACACGCGCCTGGCACAAAGCTTTCTGCCAAACCTGAAGCTATGTTCAAGGGCAAATGCTGATGCTTGCATCCAAGACTCAGGTCTGTGCCAGTGCAGGAGCGCCACAGGACATATGCTGTGCCCACCAGGAGCAATCTGAAGCACTCGATGGATACATGCCATGCAGTTTGCAGGTTACATTCCAGTCATGAGCTGGCCTCCGGTCACAGTGCCTTCTCATTGCAGCTAAGCCTCACGACCTCACTTTCACAATGCTGATAACTATGCTCATTCGAGATTGATTGTCATTTTGCATGGAGCTGTACAGTCACACTCTGCATTCCGGGATATTTCGGGGGAATCAGCTCAACAAGGCAAGACAATCTGCTGCACAATGCAGGCGAGCAACGCACAGGCACCGTGTTCAGGGTTGGAGGGGTTGCTCTGAGCCGTCTGCATGCCGCGGACACGCAGCTACTTCTTCAAGCAGAAATACAATGCTCTTGCCTTCATACCGCCATGCCTGCTGAGCACGGCCAGCTCAAACACATTTTTTTTCAAGTGAAACTGGAAATCAAAGGAGTGAAACACCTGTGCTGCATCTCCCTAGTTGGTGAATAGCAGTCTACGTCTGAGCGAAAGGCTTCAACCTCCAGATACCTCCAGAATTCATTGCAACTCTTGAGGACAGCCCAGATGAAATGTACCTGTCAAAACCACTCACTTGCACGCACATGAAGGTTCACAATTCCTGCTAGGCTTACTTTGCCGCCAGTCTGGACTTTGGTTCGCGTAAGGCTGTGTATGCCGCGAGGACGAGGAGTTTCCCTTTTGAACAACCTGCAGGTCCCGCAAGTGGGAGCCAGAACAATGGCCATGCTAGCAGGCGCCCGCCTCATACTTGCAGCCAGTCGCAACTCCCGCTGCGTCAGCATGAAGCTGCAGGACGGTGACAAGCACTGATGACTCGCTTTTGAATGCACAGGCACATCCGCACATCCAAGTCTGCCTCCAACAACTGCAGGGCGTGCCGGTCTTTCCTAGAGAAGGCGAGATGTCTAATTAAAGTTTGTTTGCCACAGACATGCACGCTCGTTGCAAGATCTGACGTGTGCAGCCTTTTCCAGAAAAACATGGGAGCGTGATTATGGCTATCTAGATTTATGGCAAGTCAGCTGATCGGGCTATGCCATGTCAAAGCGCCTGTTAGACGCATGAACACGATGAATGAACTGAAAGTTGGCGCCAGTTTCCTGTCACATGGCGCAGGAACAGAACCTTGCAGTAGAGGTTGAGAACTGCGCATGCGCAGCCAAGAGCGGCCCCTACAACCGCACGACACCATCGTGGTGGCAGCAAAGGTAACTGCTCCCTCCTTTCCAGCGCGGCCAGCCCAAAGGTTTGCAGTGACCTGGTGTGCTCAAGCGAGGAAAATCTTCCCGCGCAAATTCCCTATGATGCTCTTAGGCTCGGGAATGGGGATGCTGGGGCCACTGCCGACATGACCATTAAGGAAGATATCGAATTAAACGTGCCTTTCTTCAAAGCCCCTGTAAAAATGCAGATCATGTGTTGAGCCAACGTCAATCAAAGCGATATGATGAGCCTTTTCGGCCTTGACCCTTCAAGTCAGCTGAAGGCTTCCTTTTGCTGCTTTGGACGCACCAGCTCGCTCACCAGGCAATTCGAATTCAATGTAATTAAGTGCCAGGTCCGCAGACCGAATTAAGGTCTCTCGAGATGTGAATGTGACATGGACGCAATTCTCCTGTGCAATCCAACACGGCGTCAATCACCGATCCATCGCGGTGAGGCAGCAGACCTGCAAGTGAGGCTAGACAAGCACATTGTCTGCCAACGCATGGTTGGGAATCTCCTGCATCCAACCTAGGGTACATTCCTGGGACTGCAAGCCCACCAAGAAGGACGCTTAAAAATGCTTGAAGGAAATCTTAAAGTTCCTTGGATGTGGGGATCTGATTCAAATCTTCCATCCCCAGCCTTACGGTGGCGTCAAAGTGTCTGGCCGAACATGTTCCCTCGACAAGTGCACAGGATGGAAGCTGGACAGACACCGCACCCAAAGCTTCCGTCTGTTTGCATACCCAGGCTGATAGTCATCACCCAATAGTGCTTACAAGAACCGAGCAGAAGCCCATTCCAAGGGGTGCACTAGCCTGTTGATGCCTGTTGCCTGCCGTATAATAGCAGTTACACTCGTTAGACGAGATTCGGCCAGAATCGGTTCCCCAAAGACTCATGATCCAGCCGAATTGGGCATTTCAAAGTTTGATTCGATCTGCTGACAACCCCAGAAGATTGGCTGCACCTGAAGAGACTTGCGCTGCTGCCGAAGGAGTTTCATCACCTGCGCATGTAATCATGTAATCAACTGCTTCATCATGAAAACGAAAATCGAAATAGTCTAGCCTCGCCATGGACTCTCTCAGCACGGTCAAGGACGCGAGCAAGTGAAGCTGCATCCTTGCTACCAGTGTATCGAGAGGCTGGGCACGGAGAAACTACGCCACAGGAGGCCTGAGGCGCTTCCCGGAACTCTGGATCAATGAAGACCTCGCCTTGACGACTTCAGAGTACAGGTAAATCAGACTCATTCAAGCCAGGCGGGCATCAAAAACAGCAGTAAGGCACATGGACTGAATTTCCTGCACCAATCAGCAATCTGAATGTTGCGGCTGCGCAGATCCCCAATCTGACACTTGGCCACAAACGACCTTCCTCGCCCCCCCCAACCTATGCCAGATCTGCCTTGAAAACGGTAACCACACTTCTTCAATTGCCTCAGCCCCACTAGAAATTTGCAAGTGAATTCCAAGATACCTCACATCGCCTGACAAGCCTGCCCAACCGGCTCACCAACAGAAGGAATCTACCACCTGAAGCTCAACAAGTCGCTCTCTGTGAATTAACGCATAAAGAAAAGAATGTTGGACCAGCCCAACCAAGAGCAACAGCACCTTCATATTTTCCTTCCACAGCCACCTACATATCCCAAAAGAAGCTCTGCCCAACCCACTAGCATCCCGAATAAAAAAGAAAAGGCGCATGGAACAGGACATTCGACAAAACCGGGCGCCTCAGATTAGTGTGTTCATCAGCTGAAATAACATCAACGGACACAACATGCTAGCACGCTCAAAAAAAACTCAGGGCATGACACCCAACTTGCCAATAGATGCCTACACAAGAAGCATCTGGAAGCTGCCAGCTCTGCCCCAACAAGGGTTGTCAACCCGACATGCCAGGAACGAGACCGAATGTTGCGAAAGAGGCACGTGTTGTTTGGCTGCAGCAGCGTGCATAAATCGTGTAGGTGCATTACCAGATCTGAAACGAAGCCCGCACACGCCTGCTCCCTCAAAGAAAGCTCCGAATTCACCAAACCGTTGTTGTGGTTTCGCGTCTGACCTCACAATTTGCGCAAGATCTACTTTGCGAGCGTCTCAACTGCAAGGAAGTATGCTGACAGTTCGCCCTGGCATCTTCTCCCAAGCTGAAGTCTTGCCTTTGTTCCTGGCAACATTAAAGTAATGAAAGGCAACTGCACGACAAAAATGCTCAGCACGCCTGCACTCAACTCCATGTCCGCTTGAACAGCCATATGGACCGCAGAAGAACTTAGCTGGGACTTGCTGGCAAAGGTGTTCATGTGTCCTTGCACGTGAGCCTGACATTGGCTGAGGTCATTGCCTTCCCTGGCAGATGCCTTTGGGCTTCGTCTTGGAAGAACAACCCATCAGCTGTGTAGTCTGGGCTTCTGCCATTAGTTTGACAGGCTCGATGTTCTCCTTCTCTGGATGCAAAACAACGCTGCATGCAGACTCTCTTGTGCCCTTTCCAGGGACTTGCGTGCGCGACGCAAACATACTGTCCCCAAGGCGTTGCTTCGGTTGAGAAATGGTTGTAACTGGAGGCAGATCTCGCGATCGCATCTTGCAATTTGTTGAAGAAACGGATACCTTCTGCTTTGGATGCTGGCAAACAAGGTCTTCGCAATCTTGATCATCTGCGAAGGAAAGCGATGCAGATCTCCTGGTTACAACTTCCGCAACTGCGCCAAAAGCTGCCAGCGGCCAACACCAAAAGAAGTGCACGTTCTCTAACAACATCCTGCCAGTCTCAAGTGTACAACGGGGATCATTTGGAAGCTCTGTCGACAATTCATCTTTCGGTCGTATTTTCACACTTTTGTGCTTAACAAGTCCAAACACCTCCGTTCGAGTTTTGGACTTCAATGTCACCGCCGTGGCCGCATCTGTGCTTCCCCAGACTTGACAGCACCGTCTCTGGGAAGTTTGCTCCTGTTGCAGACCGGAACCTCTATTGAACATTGCTGTTCGGCTGCATCTGCCCTGCTCGCTTCCTGCAGTTTGCAGCATCTTGCGCGGACATGCTGCAGACAAAGTGCCAGGCTCAGCAAATGCTTGTTGTGAACATGGCAGCCCTGGCATCAAAGCTGAGGCGCCGGTCTGAAGATGCAAACGTCGGCGGCCAAGTGCGAAACACAACTGCGCGTAACATCGAAAAATGCCATCTGCGATTGCCGATGGCTCTTGTTGGAAATTGCAACGGGAAGGAGTGAAAACTTGTACACATAAAACAGCACACGCTAACAGAAGCCATCCAGCGACGTACGTCTGTGGGATCACGGCGACGCAATGACTGCCCATCTCCAGAATGAGCGATCCTGACAAAAACGTTCAGAACCGAAGCAGGGCCGCTGCAATTCTAAGCATGGACACGTTCTGACCGGGGATCCGACCAAGCAAGCACAGCCCTGCGAGCACGGCTCGCTGTGCGCGATCTTCCAATGTGCAAGGGCTTGATAAACCTCTGGAATCAACGCAAAAAAGAAATGCACATCAGCATTGGAGCTCTGGCCGGGGCTGTCACCAAAACGAGCTGCTGTTACCGATAAACATATCAAGAAGGACTGCCTGACAGGAATGAAATTGCAACATGTGCTGTGATGCGACTCCATGAGCAAACCAACAAGAAGGAAAGCGCAAAACTTGGGCACGGCACAGTTCTCCGCACTTGACGGTCACAACACTGGCGAGCACGACGGTCGCGTCAACGCAGCTGCTGATGCACGTCCATGCCTTGGAAATAGATGGTTCACAACAAGGTGTTGCGTCACAGCACTTCAATTCCAGACACTTGGCTGCAAAATCCAGATTGCAAAGTACATGTCGAACAACAATCATTCCGATGGGAAGCTTGGATTTTGCAAGCTCAGGCGCCACCAAAAGCCACGAAGGCTTGTCACAACAATACATGAAGGCGCCGACACGGAACTGGCCAAAAACAAACTGCAATTGTTGCAAGTGCCATGTAACAGTTCTATCTTATCATGCAATTTGGAATCCGAACTGGCGAGAAAAAACCTTATTGAAAGATTTGATAAGACATGTGCAGAGTGTCTACATTTCACACCTCGGACTTTGCAAACAAATATTGAAACAAATTCCGGTTGAGGAGTCCAGGAAATTTTTTTGAAACAAGCTATGAAGTACACTGTCAAAAGTGGAAACAATGAAAGAAACCTTGGGCTTGTTTGTCATTCAGTACACACAAAACAAACACATTCAAATTGCAAGAAAACCCAACAACCCCTCCTGGGAAACTTTTCCATGTCTGATTATTGCTGATGCCACACTTGCAAAACTAGCAAAGTCAAGCCCATCCTGACATTTGTTTGACGATCAGACATTTAAGTTAAAGCATCAGATGACAATCTTTGATCACAACATGGACAGGAACTGACACAAAGTCCTTACAATAGCATTGCCGAACACGCAGAAACCTTTTGCTTTGCCCCCATAAAAACCGTACCACAAAATCGAATTGTCTGACGCTAAATTTGCAAACAATAAGCAAGAACATGCGTGCCCCGATGTTCTGTGGGCTTGCACTGCTCC